GATCATATTACATTAAATAAAAAACTCCTCATTTGATTGGGATATAATCTTGTGGATTAAACAGCCTCACTGTACTTTCATTTAATGGTCTAATGGTAATTATAATGTAAATCACGAATTTCGTAATTCACTAAGCACTAAGGAGGTTCGATTTATGAATCCTCGTCCGATTAGACTGTGATTGGGACCAATAATTGTTGGAGTGTAGCTTGGATCCTTATCAACGTTGTAAATATCAATACCATTATCTGCGTGATATCCTATTAGATAAGTGGTAAAACCTACGGGAACTTGGGGAGCCGATAATTGGCTGAACGGTGAAACGGAACATGTCATTTAATCAACTATAAGGCTTAGTGAGTAAGTCTAAAATGAGAGAGGTGATTAATAATTGTGACAATCAATAAAATTATCTTTATATATTGAGGAGATTTTTAAGCCGAAGCAGTATAATACCATTATATCGACAGCTGGATCGTAAAGATCACGGGAACGTGGCGAGAACACCGCTCTTGTGCCCTCGATCAGACGACCACTGAAGGGATGAACAGATTAAAAATATGAAAACCCCGCAAAAGAATTCGATGAAAACTTTTGCTGGGTTTCGGACTTGGCTTTTGGAGCATGGATGTAATTGTATCACGATCAGCTTTGATTTGAATGATAAAAGTAATGTATTACGTCGCCCCGTCTTGCTTGATACTTATATTATTAACTTATCACCGGCTTAGTTTTTTTTCCGACGACCAATCAACCATGACCTCTGCATGATAAAGGACCAAATTATAAATTCAATGGAATGCAATGATCTACAAAAGACGACGTAACAACTGGTGAAAATATAAGTTTTATCAATTGATTTATAGGCTGATTGTTTGGGACTTCAGTTAATCTGATGTACCAAAACAGTTCTTGCGAACATTCTCCTTTTTTTTCATACGTAAACCATTAGCATTCATATTTTTTAATTAGTAGACACAAAAGTATTGCATTCAAATCTGGAGTTAACATTCAACAAGCTAATCGATGATACTGATATAATAATGACCAAATTTTTATCCATTACGTCATCTTACAGTCACCGATATGAGATACAAATTGTTTGGCTTATAATCTCGTTTACTACCTTTTATATTGTCAATTGTCAATTTCCGTATCAATATCATCAACTAATGACCGCCATGAAATAAGAATCTAGTTTGAATCCAGGAGACGTCGCACCTACCATCTCATGATAACAGTTAAGAGGTATTTCACATATGAACAATCAACGTAACAAACAACGAAGGAATCAGAAGAACGGTAAAACAAAACGTCCAGTGGAGAAGCTAGACAACAAACTCGATTACTTGAACGGGGTTTGTAACCAATACCCGCTATCAAGATCAGTGAAAAAGTCACAAATCAATAATATCAATACCACGTCCATCTAGGATGAGAAACAAGCAATTTCAGGCTGGGTGTTACTCTCTTTCTTCAGGAGAGGACAAATTAAGTGCGGTGTGACAGGGGGATGGATTATGATACCTGGATCAGTCAGCTGTGTCACGTGATGTTGTCACCGTGGTAACCACGTGACCACCACGTGGGTTACCCTGGTAACAGTAACACTCGGCTAGAATGTGGAGTTTATAGGCTACTCGTTTGACAGGTAAAATAAACAAATGTCACGTGACCACACCACGTGGTCCGGAGAGAGAAAAGGGGCCGACAAATGAGGATGCCCCTCTCTAGCTCTGTTTACCAAACACACAAACTCAAATCACGATCAAGCACCGCTCTAATTTTTACACCTCATGATTTGCGCTGTTTGCGAATGTTCCGGCCACCCCTGGACAGTAAGCCAATAGGTTGGATCTGGTCATGATGTGCCTGCCAGGAATGCGCTGACTATAGTGGCCGCGTATGTGGGCTAATACTGTTTAACTATCACTAATGTGGGAGCGGAGTTAGATTAGAACTTTAGAAGAACTGAGTAAGTTAGGGTGGAGATAAGATGAACAGTAAGAGGATGATAACATGGAATGTGAGTCATAAACATAATATTGATACTAGAGGAGAGGATGAACAGCAGGAGGAAGATAACACAATAAGAGAGAGGGAGGAGAGAATCCTAATGTAACGAGAGGAAAAGAAGAGTATTATATGCAGGCATGGCTCCAGCTCAAAATCTTTGGGTGGGTGCAGCTTGGCGCAGCACGGGGGGCGGGGGGGGGGGGGCGTTGGTGGTGAAGCCCCCTGGAAAATTTTGGAATTTTACCCTCCTAAACGTATTTCAATATCTCTCAAAACAGTCTCAATTGAGTAGAAGTCAGAAGAAGTAGTTGTTTAGTCAGAAGAAGTTTTTACAAAATTTGACAATTTTGGTGTACAAATTTTCGAATTGTACTATCATAACATTGAAACGATCTGAATATTGCTGCAATTCCTAAATGTACATTGTACAATGTTTAAAAGGGTAACTAACTTCGATTTTATCACCTTAATAATCCCAGAATGTGGGATAAAAATAGCTATTTCTATCTATATCCTTATCGTCTACAAACCAGGAGAAACGTTTCTAGAACAGATAATGGTACTGTTTCCAATGCAGGTGAACGCGGAAACCCATTACAGAGCAGAACACGTGCCTCACTTTTGTTTAACGGGTGATACTCGTAAAATATTTGTTCCGTCGACGAGTCCAACTCGGCGCGCGTCCTGGTAGGTTATAAACATACAACACTTTTGTGAGATCGTACGTGCCAAATTTCTGTTTGCTTTGATAGCACTTTCCGAGCCTGTGTCATGGACATGTTATCTTTATTTTATCCTCCATTCTAGTTACTCGGTTTAATGGCAATGCTAACTGATGTACTGCATTTTGTCTGGTGTTGTTAACACATGTAAATTTAGTAGCATTTTCGAGTACACAGGCCATCCAGCCTTTTCGGGGTCTCCCTCTCGATCTCTCTCCATAGTTAGGTTTCCACTCCAATAGAAAAATTAGTAGAAACTGTACTAGTTATTTTTTAGTTATTAAAGTCTTACAGTCGCCTGTTTCTGGCCCAAAAACAAGGGCTTCTTACTGGGTCCCTAAAGTGAAGTTCCCAAGTGCCAACTTTAAACAGTAACTGTTCTTTCCATTTTATGAGAAAAGTTATTTGGAATTGTCAGTATTTGAAAGTTAAGCAAACTATAAATTACATCTTTAAATTATTTTCAATTCGCAAAGGCAACGACCGTCGTTTAATTAATGATGCACAGTTTAATCATAATTCTCTTGTAGGTTGATAACCTACCAGGACTCGCGCCGAGTTGGACTCGTCGACGGTCCTGTATTTGGAACAATATATTTTACGAGTATCACCCGTTAAATAATTCTCATGCTTCTCAGTAAAACAACACACAATCAAACTTGTATCATGAATAAGAAATTAACCACATCTTTCTATACTCAATCTACAATTTATAAATTTGAATTTTGATTATAGATGGGACTACTAAGCTATAATTATCTGCGCCGCTTTTTTGGCCAGTATCAACCCCATTTTTGGGACTTTGGTCGCTTATACGGCCTAAGCGGTATACAAATAAAGCGTTATTATTATTGTTATTATTATATATACAGCGAGACGATATGGTTCCGTGCCATTTTACTGACCCCATGGCATCAACTTTAACGCGACTTTCCGCAAAACCGTAAAAGGTATACAACTGAAACATTTTTGACTGGGTCAAATGCTTCAATGGCCTTCAAATCAGCATGGAAAAATAAAAAATTGGCCAAGGAATAAGAATTTTAGTGCCCAAAATTTGGACTCCCAAGTGGTGTCAAAAACGCGAATTAAATAGGTAATAATTATTTTAGTCTCTCGAGTCTTGACACCACTTTAGGGTAGACGGGTTCCTGCTAGTAAATTAAAAGAATTACAATACCCGTACCGAGATGATCGTCCATAAATCAGCTAAACACAATACAACTATTGTCAATGCAATGAATCTAGACTGGGAAGGTCGTCCCGCTTTGGGTTATATGATTTGGGCGTCTCACGTGACACACAGAGCACACACTATTGTACCAGGTTTGCGGACGGCGGAGAGGGTGTTGTTATGTTCTATGAAAAACAATTAGATATAGAAAATTAAATTAAATTGTTTTGTTTTTTTCTATCCAATCCGTAGGTCATGAGTACTAGTAGTGTTCAATGTAATCCAATCTTTCGGATTCTAACCCTTCATAAAAGAGGTGAGGAGTTTTGTTAATTGACTATTATCTATGTCTTGTTCCAACTATATTATGTAAAGTTCAGACCCTAAGAATTGTCTTGAAATTTTTAACCCTACGATATCTCAGATCAATAACTGGTGTTACATAGGTAAGAGCTTGAACAACACTAAAACTTGTGGAAAATTATACTCCCATCATGTATCGTAACCTTGACTAGCTCGAAGGTATTAGAACTGATGTTAAGTGGTCTACTGATATGTCTATTGTTACCCCCATCTGTACAATTGTCTATTGTTACCCCCATCTGTACAATGACCCCCCCCCCCCCCCCCCCATGGTACTAAAGACCTGTTCTTTTGCGAGGTTTGCCTACTAGATTTACAGCATGAGGAGGGGCAGGCATTACCAGTCGTTTAGTCTCGTATTGTTAAGAAAGGTCGCCCTCAATATGAAGTTAGTTTTTCATAAATGTAGGATTCATTGGCATACATGAGAGCATGATAAGCCCATCAGTTATATTTATATGAGAAATGGGATAAATTTTTGGAAAACACACAATTTGTGCTATCTAGTTTTAAACATATCACAGATAAATGATGAATTAAGGCTTGTGGCAGTTTAAGGAGTCTAGCTGTGTTGGCTAGCTCATTTGTCCCTCGGCTGGCATGATACGAGTAATGACTGAGATCCTCAAGCATCTTTGCAATTGTCACTAACGGAAAGTCAAGGAGAAGCACCCTTACTGAAGCTTTGGAGGGATCATTGTCCAGCAGTCTGAGGGTTATTCTACTGTTATGATTACGGGCTGTGTTGGACTTCTTGGACAGTTCCATATTGAGAGTTTTACGTAGCGACCACCGTCTTACTGTCTTAGTAACATGATTCAAACCTCCCTTTTCTATTACTTTCCTCTTTATTTTACATTTCACTGGTTTCATACTTTCTGGATGTTTTTCTTCCACCGCACCGGATCCTCCTTTAAATCTGGTCTATGAGTCTACACAGGATTAAAATTAAATTATAGATCCATTATCATGGACCGTCATAATTGTACAGAAATTAATGAAAACATTCATCTTTCCTTGAAGTCAGAGCCAGGGTTATCCTTAAATCTTAATTATGACTAATTTGCGAGGTTCTCACCAAATTGATAGTAAAATTGTTTAAGTTTCGTGCATTTGAATTACGTTGACGCATATCTTCGGTGAAGCTATTTCGCTCTTCGGAGCAGCGAAGGAAATAAGTGCACACACAATTGACAGCATAGGAGCGCCTTTCTTGAAATTGAATATACTGTGTTTGGTTGAATATTTAGTGAACGGTGGCAGTGAATATGGAGGCTCTGGTGATTTTGAGGAATTACAGTTGAGTAAGGAGACAAAATTTCCATAAGATGGACTTTAAGATTTGTTTCGTTGATATTGCTTGAGGCGGTGATTTCAGTGCTTATTTCAATGAGTGGCATTTGAGAAAGATTTTTGACTAATTTCGACCTCTGTTTTGAATACAAGTCACATATGTAAAGAACATGTGACTCGTCTTCGATGGTCTCAACGCCCATACTTGATTGACACGAAGCACATAGCCTTTGCTCACGGGGTATGTTGGAGTATCTGCCTTTTTCAATATGGAGATCATGGGCGCTGATTCTAAGTTTTGTGGTGCTATAACGACGAGAGAAGCCTTTGCATAAGTGTAAGTAGGGCTCTCGGTTGAAGGTGTGTTTGATTGAGTGATAGAATAAGAGTTTAGAAGAAGTAGATTTCTGATATTCCCAACATTTTATAAAATTATTGGTTAGAGCTTCTATGATGTTAGGAATTCTATACTTTTTGCTGCATAGTGGTTTGATACATTGAGTTTGACTAAATTTGGCTGATTTTTGAGGGAGTCTTTTAACAATTTAATAATTTGATCTCTGTGTGCTCATATTCAGTAATAATTTTATATGTAACGCCTTGAAGATTAGACTGTCAATTAGTATAACTAGCAGGAACCCGTCTAACCCTAAAGTGGTGTCAGGACTCGAGAGACTAAAATAATTATTACTTATTTAATTCGCGTTTTTGACACCACTTGGGAGTCAAAATTTTGGGCACTAAAATTCTTATTCTTTGGAAAAATTTTTATTTTTTCATGCTGATTCGAAGGCCATTAAAGCATTTGACCCAGTCAAAAAAGTTTGAGCTGTATATATTTTACGGTTTTTGCGGAAAGTCGCGTTAAAGTTGATATCATGGTGTTAGTAAAATGGCACGAAACCATATCGTCTCGCTTTATATATAGTAAGATGTGTTTAAGCACTTCAAGTTTTAACTCCATCAACTATTAAGCCAGCATATATAAAAAGAGATGATCCCTTTGCTACTCTGCCTGCTGTCACCCGTTTTAACTCGAGCAAGTACAAGTCCCACATTCGTTTCCAGTTCAACATCACTGGTATCATATGTTTCTACCTATCCAGACGTTACAGAAATACCATGGGACGACATTCAAGGTAATGATATCAAATGCTGCATAAATCGTTATGTTATTAAATAATAAACAAGTTTGTTTTTATAATTATTTACTAAGAATGAATTTCTGAATGGGAAGCATGTCCAAACCAAATAAAATATAAGTTTGAATTTCAGAAGACACAACTTGTGAGTTCGTACAGTATCACGGTTACATAAAGATACAATGCACAGCTGTAGATAAGGCCACAAACAAGACTAAGACGTTCTTCAAGTGTCCAAATTCTAACGATTACTACTCGGTGGTAAAACGAAGTTGCAAGTACCAACAATTTTCGAAAGCATGCCCTAACGATCCTATGTTTTACCAGGTAAAACTGTTAATAAATTGATTTTAAATGAAGTGAATATCTTAAAATGGTGACCACGGACTTATCCTTGATTTAAAGATGAAGAGTTCATAAGGAGATGATACATTAGTGGCTTGTCAAAGTACGTGACAGGTCTGACACACAATTATAATATTCATGATAACATAGTGTTGCTTTACTAGAATTTTCATCATCTTAGAAAATGGGAATTTAATTATTATATTTCAGATGTGTGCAGCTATAAACTTGGATTGCAATCAAAGAGGTGAAGAGGGGATCACTTCTATTGAGGAAACGCATTATCACAGCAAATTCTTGTGCGCTCGTGCGGTCTGTGATAATGGAGATACTACATTCGGTTTGGATGACATCTGCGGACATGATCATGATGAGGAATGCAAAAACATTCAATACAGTACAGACACTTGTGCAGTACCTGATGACACGGATCATACATACACTTGTAGAACTCCTTGGAAAAAAGAAATAATCGATTCAAACCGTCTGTGTGATAAGGTCTGTGATTGTTATTTGTGCGATGATGAGGCAATTTGTAACGGGTTTACCTATGGGATCTTATGCACTAATATATACACTAAAACACCTTATTACCAACCAGCATATTTCATATGTGACGGCAGAGCTCAATGTTTTTATGGAACTGATGAAATGAACTGTCAGGAAGGGCCAATGTGTAAGCAGAGATTCAGTGATGTCACAAGACCTATGGTAAATGGCACAAGATGTGCTCCCTTGTTTCTGAATATTGTTCCATATTGTGAAGACTACTCCGACCAACTGAACTGCACAGACCCCTCAATTGCAAACCTAACATGTTTTAGAGGCGGCTACCCTGTCTCCGTTGCTGACAGAATGAGATGTCATGGAATCACAGAACTCCGACTTTGTGATGACGGCTTTGAAGACATGTGCGTGAGAATTGATATCACTTGTAAGGTCCACAAACATCAAATTTGCGATAAAGTTAAGGATTGTTTCAACGGAGCAGACGAGTTGCATGTCACTTGCCGTAGTATGAGCAAGTATTCATGTAAGAGGGCATTTGGTATGGAGAACAGAGTATTAAAAGTACCTTTGAGCTGGATTAATGACGGATACAAGGACTGTGAAGATGGTATAGACGAAGGAGTGGTTTACCCAACCTGTGGTTTCACCCCAGCTACAATGAGACTCAAGAAAGATAATGAAGAATGTGGAGAGGTTTTCCTATGCGGTTCTCCTCCTTCAGGACATATAGAATTTGAGCACTTGTGTGACCAAGTAAACACTTGCGGTAATGAAAATGCGCTCTGCCAAAAAGCATTCGATTCTCCAGGGATCCACCAAAAGATAGATAGCTATGAAAACCATATGTCTGTTTCGTACTGTCTAAAAGGTTTGGACAAACTTTCTTACGTAGCAGGAAATTGTTCGAAGACTGATTTTGGATATCAAGGATATGAACTTCTTGGAAGAACACAGCTGCTCTTGGATGTTCCAGAAACAAAGTTTGACTGCAAATATGTGTACGGTGAGATGTATGTCTATCTTGCCTGCATAGGCCAGTGTGCCGCTTCCATTTGTCCACTTGAAGATCCTATAAGACATGATTCATGTCTTGGGCAGTACCCTTCAAGAGTTTACACACTCGCAGATAACAACTTTCTGACCTTTCTTCTGCCGTATGGAGACAACAAATACCACAACAATTTGTTTCCTTGTGAAAATGGATTATGTATTCCTTATGAAAAAGTTTGCAACTTGGCAAATGATTGTGGGGATTTCTCCGACGAAATATTGTGTAATAACCATTTTCAGTGCCCAAATAGTACAGAATATATTCCTCTTTCTAGTGTCTGCGATGGCAAACCAGACTGTATCGACTATTCAGACGAATGTAATGGCAGATGTAATGTACGGATCATTGAGAATACTGTTCTCACAACTGTAGCCTGGCTTTTAGGCTCATTAGCGACACTTTTGAACCTCATCATCATCATAAGAGGAATGTATACTTTCAGAAAAGCTTCAACAGTGGCAATGCTTCTTAACAAACTTCTTATCCTCCTCATAGCATTTGGTGATCTTTTGATAGGGATATATCTTTTAGCTATATCTATCTATCACGAATCGCAATACCATAGTTATTGTCCCAACAGATTCGAATGGTTAACCAGTAGATCATGCGCTTTCATGGGCATCGTCAATACTGTGGGTTCTCAGCTATCACTCTTTTCAATGACAGTCTTGAGTTTGAGCAGGGTTTTGAGAATGAACAAATTATCTATCAGCAATGAAACGACTTTAAAATCGAGCATTCCTGTGTTTTTGATTGGTACCCTAATTCTCATAGCTTCCTGTTTAGTGGCAGCAGTGCCCTTATTTGAGCCCTTTGAAGATTTTTTCGTCAATGGAATTAACTATCCTAGAAGCCCACTTTTCGTCGGATCTGTTACAAAATTTAAGCATCTCGAGATTTTTGAAGAATACTTTGGAAGGATGAGAAATAAAGATCTCTCATGGAAAAACATAGACAGATTGGTGGTGAGTATGTTTAGTGATGAGTATGGAGCTGGAGGAATCACCAGGAACCAGGTTCATTTCTACGGAAACGCAGGAGTATGCCTCTTCAAATATTTTGTCACTTCCGATGATTCTCAACGAATTTATGTGTGGTGTACCCTGTTTCTTAACATCATATGTTTTGCATCAATAACTATGGCTTATATCATTATTCATTTCATATCAGCCAAATCATCGAGTCAATGTGCTAACAATAATGGAAACGAGCAACTTAGAAAAAGAAACAAGCGACTTCAAAGAAAAATAACTCTAATCATTGGGACAGATTTCTGTTGCTGGATACCATTCATTGTCATGTGTTTTCTCCACTCTTTGGAAGTGACAGACGCTAGTCCTTATTACTCCCTGTTTTCCATTGTCGTCCTGCCCATTAACTCAGTCATCAATCCTCTACTATACGATGAAACTGTTAGTTTATTGTTATCAAAAATATTTAGAGTATCAAGACAACAATTTAGGACAGAAGCTTCTGCAGTGACTGGTGAGTTAGAAATGAATTCAATTCAAGATGCTTCACACGTGACAGCCCACACAACAGTTGCTCTACGAGAAATATCACCAGCAATGACTGCTCCAGAACACGATTATAAAACGCCAGAAACTGTCAAGTTAGAGTCTCAGTCAGGAAGCAGAGTTGAACACCAACCAAAAGCAAAATATATTAATGTAAGCGAGGCGAGCCAAATAAAAGGTGTCAAAAAGATGACATCGAATAGGGCTCGTGTTGTTACAGAAATATTGAATGAAAGACTTGAAGAAGAAGGAACGGGGCGCCATTAAGGAAAATAAGTGGAAACAATTACTACTGATGATATTATACTCCAAACATTTAATTAAGATTAGACAGGCAGAGTTCATTGCGCGAAACAACTGTGGTCAACTGTCAGTCACCTGTTGAACGAATGAGCATTGCAATGAAATGGTTCATTAAATGACAATGATAAATAAATATTGTGTTTTAGAGATTACTGCGGTAATAATAATATAATTAATCAATGTTTTATTCTGCTTACTTCAAGTAACATGTTACCTGGGGACCCCAGGCAATTATGTTGGGGGGGGTGTAACCCAAAAAAACCCAAAAAAACCCAATCCCAGTATTACCTTTTTCAGGGTAGGAGTTGGGTTTTTTTGGTTTTTTTACAAATTTTTCATTTGAAGGAAATAAAATCATGTAGGCACCTAGCAAAACAATTATCAGTACAACATCACTGTTGTGGTTCATCACTACAACATCACAATAGATATAATCGCTTAAATATCACCCAAAAGCAGTATTTTATTCACTGATGTGCTCAGAAGAAGTTGGCCATCCAGATATGATATCAGCCATATGTAATGCTCACTTCGATGGCCATGGCAAATTGAGTTAGTAGGGACGCAACTCACTGATGACCCCAACCCTGACCGCAACCGCTACGAGAGGAATAAAGCCTTTCTTCTCACCTTCACGATCTCTGTTTCCGTTTTCCTGATCATCCGCTTAACGAGAAACCATGCTCTATTTCCAACTGAAAGAATCTTGCAGTTATCATCAGCTGCATGATCACATGTGATATTAAGTGATATATTCGCTTGTTTATGGCCCTGGAGTCGCTAAAATCATGACTGGGATGGCATTCGATCTCGCCCTCCATTGAGGCAAACCTCAACAGCCGTATCATGATGCAGAGCATCACCATACACAGTTACTATTTTCGCCCATTCCTCTGATGAGTCAGTATCCTCCACTTCCTCTTCTTCATCATATGTTTCCGCTTCGTCACTCTCTGCTCCGTCAGAAGATGGTTGGAAAGCCTCTCCTTCAAAGTTACAGTGTTCTTGAAGGAGTTCTCTACCCCTTGAGACTCCCTCCTTCATAGCTTGTAACAATCTTGGGATTGAAGTATCTTTACCTCTAAATAGTTTCTCTGCTTTCGGATGCAACAAGCTTGTTGCGAGATTGGGCAACTGTTTCAGGGATCAAACTTTTGCCGAGTGCATCAAGCTCGAGGGAACGGTTTGATTTGCCCATGCCAACCAACATATCCTTAGAACACAGATTAGTTCTAATGCCTGCATGGAGGCCTATGCGCAGGAAAGCATAAAGTTTGCTCGCAGGCATCGGATGTAAAGTGTTGATAACTGTTGTCAGCTGTTACACTGAGAATGTACAGCATCAGACCCTCGACTGTAATAATCGCATCATCAAAATTTTTACAAGTAGGCAGGTGGTCTTTCAATGGTTGTGTGAAGCTTAGGTGGCCCAAGGCGTCACCGCTTGATAGAAGCTGGGTGGAAGCCCTGGTCTGATGTGAGGCTCCCAGAACTTTGAAAAGGGGTATCCTGCTGGTGCCCTCTTCCAGACACTCATCGGACAGCATGATGAAAGCCACTACCTCCGCGTGGTGAAGACTGGATACTGGACAGGGGGTCCAGGTTAAAGGCAGGACGGTCGACGGGAGACATTGAGCCCCGGAAGTTCAATAATTTGATCTATTGACTCCTTAACTCTTGGTCTACAAGAGGCTTTGAGACTCGTAAATCTTTACTGTGGATTGCACAGTAGCTAAAGAGGTGTTGGCTGTTACCCTGTTCAACCTAGTCTACTATGACCCAGCTAGACTGGACCACACTCTGGTAGTCAGGATACGGCTCCCTATGCCCGGGGTACCGGGTAACGAGGTAGTCAGGGGAAGGGTTAGTAGCTCTGTTCTCACTCTAACCTCCTTATGCTTTGGGATAAAATCGGAAAGTCCTACACTGGAGCAGGTGACGATTGGGTAAGGATTACAACTGATGCTGTTGGGTAGAAAAAGGAAGTGTCACATTTGTCTTGTATAGCATATGTTCGTGCAATTACATGCTCAAGATACCCAAGATATTATGGTGAGAGTTAAAGATGGCTATTGTTCAAGCGGATGCCCTTAACCTTTTAGTGGCGCAAGAGTTAAGAACACAATCCACTGCCAATGTGCAGGGGACTGCACAGGATTGTGAGCCAACTGAAAAGTCAAGATGAAGTTTATCAACAGCACATTTCCACTTTGTGCATTCATATGGATTATATCTCGATGAACGAGACATCCTGTTTGCTATCGTGATAACATACTATCAATATAAACACACTTATATACTATGTAAACTATCTATTAAGTTAAGACATGAGAACAACACATTCAATACAATTAATGAAATGGCTAGAATTTTGTTTAAATTTTGTTTAAAAAACCCAAAAAAACCCAAAAAAACCCAATCCCAGTATTACCTTTTCTTGGGTAGGAGTTGGGTTTTTTTGGGTTACACCCCCCCCCCCCCCCCCCCCCCCTATGTTCATAAACATAAAGATTCGGCGGAATAACAGGCTGAGCGCCGCCCAGTAAGTAACATGCTTTTTTCCATATCAATTGATTGTTGCTTCTAATTAAGGACTTATAAATATAATATACATTTCCTATTTTGGTTTTCAAATAGGTCATTTATTTATATATTTAAATTATGATTGCTCTAAATTTTAAACTGAGTTATAATAAAGTACCTCAAAAGCTAATGGTCAATTTTAGCTCGCTTGGAATCGCCATTATCCTCCGCAAATGACATTGACAACCTGATCGTGCTTCCAGTTCCAGCGATAGTTGCACTGTCTAATAGTAATAGTATAGCATCTTCGCTGCATTGGCGGACTCTTTTAGTTTTATCGCGTATCTTATGTATCCGTAAGCTGTTCCCTGAAATTATTTATTAGTCAGTTTGAGGTCTTGGTTATATGTACAGTTTATTCCTTGAGAATTTCGTCGTTTATTCATGCCTAGAGAAACCCATCAACTCTAATTGAAAATTGAATAGTGAATCCGTTAAGAATGTTGAAAGGGATTGAACGGAGCTTCCACTTGCACTCAAGCTTTGATTTTATGAATTAACTAGAAAGCCCGTGGTCACAGAGAGGAAGCTAATAGTATTCTTTGGTAGTCAGTTTTTATAGCATCAACAAATATCCATCACAACCGAAGATACAGCCAATTAAAATATAGCTCGCACCAGTGCACCACGTAATAACAAAAAAAAAGATCAAAATACCACTCTCAAATCGTTGCACGTGCAAGTGCACTTTTAAGTTCTAACACCGTTACCATGGTTATTATGAAACTGCCTATTTCTTATCTATTTGAACGTGGGCGGTCGTACAGTTAAGTGTACAGTTAAGTGTATTAAGAGAATTCTCTGAATGATAATATAGACTAGAAAACCCGTGGTCACAGAGAGGAAGCTAATAGTATTTTGTTGTTAGTTAAATTAAATCGCGTCACAACATATCCTACACAACCGAAGATACATCCGATTAAAATGTTGCTCGCACTAAACACAACGTAATAACAACAAAACCGATAAAAATGCCGTTTTAACAATCTTTGCACGTGCACGTGCGTGTAACAACCCTCATTACCATAGTTACTTTGCAACCTTTTGCTTTTTACCTAATTTGCACGTTGGCACTGGCAGTCGTACAAACATTGTACAGTGTACAAACATTAAGGGAATTCTCTGAATTATAATATAGACTAGAAAACCCGTGGTCACAGGGAGGAAGCTTATAGTATTGTTTGTAAGTTTAAATCGCGTCAAGACAGTCTCAATTGAGTAGAACTAGAAGTCAGAAAAAGTAATCAAAACAAGAATTTCGCCGCGGTTACACCACGCACGATTAATTTTCCCTGCTTAAACCGTTAACATTTGCAATTAAACGAAAAGATAATTTTATCGATTAATAAAAATTAGATATTGGATTATTTTGTTGTTAAAAAGTTGCACTATTTTCATCGTAATTTGTCATTGCGCGCGTGCAGGATAATCGAATATTTAGTACGCCGCGCACAAACTTTGGGCTAATTTAATTTGAACGGCATCGTTTGACAATTGAAATTCGCGTTGGATACTGCAATTAACTAACACATGCCGAGCGTCGCGCGCAGCATAACAGACGCTTCCTATACTCATAATTATAGGGGAGTGGTCTATATTGCGAAGGAGCAGACTTTTGTCGTCAACGTAGGACCGTCGGGCCACCTCATATATCCAAACCCGATTACTTATTCCCTACGATCTTTTTGCCTTCGGCAAGAGCAGGGAAAAAAATTGACAGATTAGACAATTGACAGTCTCGACTCTCAATTGAGTAGAAGTCAGAAGAAGTAGTTTTACTTCTGCTGACTTTACTCAATTGAGACTGTTTTCAAATTGTGTATAAACGTCTTCTGACTTCTAAGTCAGAAGAAGTTTTTACAAAATTTGACATCTTTGGTGTTCAAATTTTAAAATCATTTGGGTGGGTGCAAGTCCAAACTGAGTGGGTGCAACATCCTTTGGGTGGCTGTGCACCCACCCGCGCCAACACGGTGGAGCGATGCCTGATTATATGAACAGCAGGAAGAAAAAAGTTGAGAGAATAAGGGGACGAAGAAGACTTATGATACAACCCTGTTATTTTTGTTTAAACTATGTTTTCCACTTAGCGATCTCGATTTTTTTCATGTTAGATAAGGAAAAAGTTCAGAATTCAGTGTTTTGAACTGTTGTTACAAATAAGTATCATACTGTACATTGAAATCTGACAGAAAATCGCACCAAAACTTATCCAAAGTCAACATTCGATAAAACAGGTTTTTTCTAAATTCGTAGTACGAATAATAAAAGCAACTGCTAAAAAAGCGTAAATTCGTCTGATATCCCTAATTAATTAAAAACCTTCGACAATGAAACATTGTAAACAATAGTTCTTGCTGTCCTGAAACACGATAAAGTCCACTACAAAGAGGTATAAACACCGATCTCAGTTTCGTAAACATCACCGGACATCAGTAACTGGGAAATGACGGCGTCCAAGTGTGTGGAGTATGTTGGGTAGTCCTTTTTCAACCGTCTTGTGTCAACCTGGAAAGTAAATGGGGGTAAATAAGAGGCTTCCGGTGACAAAGTAGTGGCCGTAACCAAGGCGATGAGTGGGAACTATGGTTTAATTCGTTCAACCTACCAAATTCATACTCAAAACTCAGACCTTCATTCTGTACGCCCGAAACTTAATCCAAACTTTAAGCCTTAAAAATCAAAATTTCGTCTGAAATCTATAAAACAGTTTTATTAATCCAAAATGTTCTAGTCGGGATACATATTCACGTATTCACGTAGCAAATTTAACAGTGGAAGCAAAAGGTCCAAACGTACCTGCTTGTTAGTCTTCAAACATTTACTTATTAAATTGAGGGCGTTTTTCCGGACTTCCTGTATCTTACTCGGGCCCTGAAATTTACATATTATTAGAAAAATTATAACATTTCAATCAAATATATGCAGCTACCTTATTTTACATGATCATATAAAAACGGAATTTAAGGGAGTCTCAAACTGTAACCCGCCTTAAAAATAAATATTCTCCATGTTCACGGTTATTTATGCAGAATTAGTTTAGGCGCCACCCCGCCTACTATTAATTTATCCGCTGCGAGTATACTAATGTATTCCACATAACACATGTTTCTATTGTGCGATGTGATGTACAAATTTGACATTATGCGTTTTCTGAAAATGTGCAACAAGTTAATTGATAATCTCTCTCAACACTTATTTTACTTCGGAAATTCCAACAGCCACATAGTTATGTACAAGTGTAACCAGCCAATTACAGGAAGCCGAAGGATTCAATTATACATAAGGCCAGTGACGGTTAAGGTAGTGTGTACCATACTTTCTTCGTCCCAGACTAAGCTGCAATGGGCAGCTCCTCATTTAACCCTCACACTCGATTTCTCGAGTATTCGGCTGAGTGGACCGGGGGGCTGCATAGACCACTCAGGGTCCTTAGCTGAGCGTCGACGTCGCTCACCCCACGGCTAGTGACAGAGTCGGGAATCGAACCTGGTACCTCAAGCAATGCCAGGCCGATTTACCTGAGCCACTGAGCCGTTATGGGAAGCTCTACATCCCATTCAACCAAATCATAATAGAACTGCAGCCAAAATAAAACGAGTGCTCTGGTAGTAACTGCCACTCAAATTAACTGCAAGAATTTAAAAAGTAGAGAACCGGACACTGCCTCGGTGTAAAATATATAGACAAGTAATTTAGTGTGGCCCGCACAATATGTGTGCAGGACGCAGGTACATATGGGGCATTTGTTTTCGTTTTTCAAGCTAAAATCAACTCAAGAATTTTGTATGTGTGACAACAACGAAACTTCCGGCGCACATACTATTACTGCAGTTGTTAGGGAAAAGCAAATACAGCCTAACATGCAGAGTGAAGACCTTGATAAAACTATAAATGGACAAATGCAGCAAACATAGGGCTCACGGAAAGAGGTCCGAGCAACATATTATTTGTAGAGATTAACACTCACCAGATGGGAAATAGGTTTCGCGGCAGAGAAATCATCAGACACTAGGCTTCCAGAAAAGACCGTTCATTAAGATTCAACATCAGTCGTCGGAAATAGATTTTCAGAATTTCTCGAACAAAAGTCATGTCCGGATCATGCTCAAACGATCGCAAGTCCGATGCGGCAAGAATTTTCGCTCATCAAGCAGAGGTATTCTTAAGAATAGCAATAGGTCGGGCATGACGGCAGAGCAACGCAGAACGACACGAAATAGCAAGCCAACTGAGCTCAATGTGAACTTCTTGATCAGGCTGAGCTGAAGCGCGCGATGCAGCGCGCGCGTTCTTCACAGCAATAAAAACTTATGCGTTTGTACATAAACTATGCCAAAATTTGCTAGTTTCAAAAGATAAGATTGTGTTTACGTCCCTTGCTTTGAGGTCACGCAAAGGCGTGACATCCAGCAATACGGAATAAAGTGATCCCTTCTTTGGAAGCCACACAATCCATCGTAAATCTATATTTAAAGCTCATACCAATAAATACATATTGCATTGCTGATAATGCCCGTAAATGAATAGAATATAAATTATAACTCACTTTATTCGAATCGGAGAATTCTCTATGAAGTTCTAAAAGAAGATAATCCTCATCGTGACCCGTCAGGGCTGTCAAACACTGCACCCATATCCTTACATTCTGGATTTCTTTGTATTGGGCTATTTTGCTGCATGGCCCTGAAATATACAGACTCTGAGCACAGCTAATTGATTATTTATAAATACCAGAACTTCCGAATAAGGACATAGAATAATAATGTGAGTATGTGACCGGTAAATCTAAATATACACCAGCAATACCTACCAACCTTTTTGTAAAACATTCTCCATAACAGCATCTCGTATCTTCTGCGCAAATTCCGAACACTGAACCGATATGTCCGGCAAAACGAAAGGTTTCTGGAGTATTTCCATGGCTTTGTCGGACAGGGCGAGGTGCAGTGTAAGTTGGTTCATATCTTCCTGAAATTAGATAAGGGTTAATCAAGCACCATTGCAATTTGTATCCTAGTCAGCATACCGTTTTATTTCTCTTCTAACACAATCACGAGAATAGTTTCAAAGACACCTTGCCGATGTTGGTATGGGACCAATATCCCAATTTAGGTTCCTACTCAACCTCAGGAATGACGCAGAAGTCGTGACACGGTATGCAAAGCTCAATAATCGTATAGTTCGAGAACAAATCTAAACTTCTCATATCTAGAACGTTCCTGAAACAAACATTAACAGGGGGACAGATATTTTGTATGGGGGAGGAGGGATCATAAGAATTTTTGAGAATTTGACCATTTTCGCCGGGAATACTCAAAAATGTCTCCAAAATAATTTTTGAATCTGAGAAATTCAGCATGGCTTTCTCATTTTCTCAAAAGTTGTCCAATCAAAAATTATTTTCGAATCTGAGAGATTCAGCATGGATTTCTCATTTTCTCAAAAATTGTCCACTCAAAAATAGTGATATACCACATCATTCTTCATATCAGTGCAATGTGGTCCAATTGAGATGAGACTTTTTCGCCTCTCTTGGAAATTTGACTCAAAAATAATTTTTGAGAATGAGAATTTGGCCATTTTCGTCGGGACTCTCAAAAGACAAAAACACCCATGATCCCCCCCCCCCCCCCCCCCAACCCTCCCCCCTTCATAAACCAACTGTTAAAAAGTCAACCTACCATCTGGAAAATCTCCATGATTTTCAGCTCAACATTTCCTCTAAACTCCGTTATTTTAGCTGTAACACACACCAAATCACCCAGACAGTATCCTGAGGTGCTGTTATCAGTGCCCCACTGTACACACTGTACCGCGCCCGATGTATCTTCTATCTTGTACTTCGTGTATTTCTCTTTAATGTCAATTCCTGTTAAGAGAGATCGGGTTAGTGAACACTGAACAGTAGTTACTAAAGTTACTAGTACTTACTAAAGGGACAGTAGTTACTAAAGTAGTTACTAAAGGGACTTACTTATTAGGCAGCTCTTTTACTACCCTGCCTCATTAAATACCCTGCCTGATTTCTGTATAATTATATTACTCAGTTATCCTCATTCAAATCATAGTTATGTAAAGACACCGGTTTATTCAATAAATTTATAGCGATTCATTAAGTCAAATTAAGTTGACCTCTAAGATCTATCAGCACCAAATAAGGACCCACTGAAGCTATGAAGATACACTTTCAACTAACAGGGTGTCACCCTCTGTGATGTTAGTGGCTAGCTCTACATGACAAGACTGCTTCTAATACAGACATGACTCATGTGTGCAATCAGTGATTATGCAGTGACATAATACCTACCGTGATTTAGATTTTATACCTATAAGAAGAAAAGGAGTGGAAGTTAAATGGGTAAATTGCTGGGTGAGGCTAATTATTCTACGTGTAACTATAACAGGATACAATCATACTATTTCTAGTACTGTATTATCGAGAAACCTACACTCGTTATTATAAAACTGTAATTGTCACTTTTTTGAAGATATGATCAGTGCCCACAATACTATTACGCTGAGTAGAGTCTAATGTCTAGTGTGCAACTCAATCATTTAGTAGGTACTTATTCAAGGTACTTACATCGCTCTCTCCGCCCCTGCAGGGGCAGACTGTGTACTGAGTACATAATCTACTCACAATTCAGTGTGTGTGTGTGTGTGTGTGTGTATCAACTATCAGTATGTATAGATCATAGTTTATGTGTCATGTGAGAAGTTTGCCATCTCATGTTGCAGAATGATAGACTCAGGCAATGTTAATTTGATTTAGTACCCTCCTAACTTGGGCAAGGAATTCCGTCCTAAAGTTTAATACAACACTTACCAGCAAGCTGGAAAATTGCCAAAATACTCACGGGGGCTCTTATATTTCCCGGAAATAAAGTAGGGATTGTACGTGTATTGGTACGGCGTGTGTGGGCAGGTTCGGATATTGTTTGTTTAAATACCAACCCCCAACTGGCTCCTGAGATAAATACCGAATATAACACACTAAATAGCACACCTACATTTAGTGTGTATCACGCAGCATTTAACATGTATACACGTACATTTACACAGACCACACTGTGTTCCTCTTATCTTGCATAACAATCTACAGAGAGCAACCATACAACATGCAGTCAGCTGACATTCCGTACATTCTGGTGACAGTCGGGTGACAGTCGGGTGACAGTCGGGTGACATTCTTTGTGAACCAGTACATTACAAAACTGTCTGTCTAGTACTCCCCGAAATAACCTAGGGGCTTTGTGGTACCAGCTCACTTAAAATGTATTTTATTATAATGTATTATAATTTATATTATTATATATACATATATTTGTGGTACCAGCTCACTTACAATGTATTTTATTATAATGTATTATAATTTATTATATATATTATATATATATTTGTGGTACCAGCTCACTTATAATGTAGTTATTAAGTAGTGAAATGTCGGTTCTGAGTAGCACTTATTGGAGATGGAGCAGACATTTGGTTGTAGTGGATTTTAAGTGGGTAAACTATCAACACCTACAGTATATATATATATATACGGTATACTCACTCTGTACTGGACCAATAGAAGCCTATAAACGGACCTATAAACAATTACTCTGCTGTTAGTATAACTCAACAAGGACACTATAAAACAGCGTACAATTGTGATGACAAGTTCAGCCTGTATGTCCTGAGCTTGTCATGAACATTGAACATCATGTGCATTTATACTATTACTTAGTGTAAACATATGTAGTCTGATACTTAGTGATCCAATCAATCTGAACACCCTGACGTTGAGGACCACGCCCACTTAAAAGTAAGTTGGAATATGTAAAGTATATTGATCAAGTAGATCAAGTGGAACATGATAGTTAGAATATTGGGTGTAGTGTGTACTGCTGCAGATATAGTGAGGATTGGAGAACTGTTATTTATTGGTGGATAAGTCCGGTTTTAGTGACCAGAAGTATACCAAGAAGTGGACTTTACCTAGCTAGATCAGTCAGTCATTGGGTTTGTAACTCAACGAAGAAAATTGCAATTATCCTTGGTTGCAACTTTTATTGGTTGTAGCATTAATACTTTAGTGGGATCGTTATTCAGAGCTGCCTCTTGGACATGGATAGCTATTCCATTGTTGCAAGTGAGTGTAATCATGGTGGCGCAAACATTTCTTGGAATTCGTGGGAATTCCAATATTTTTAATATTGAGCAACTGCACAAGCTCACTAGTTGTTTACACGTTACAAGAAACTGCAATAAGCTCAATATTTACAAACAGTAACCTGTAAGTCACACACTAAGTCAGACCATTAGTCACACACTAAATCACACACCATTCATCACACACTAAATCACACACATTAAATCACACACTAAATCACACAGTAGAATATACTGAAACCCTGACTACTCACCAGTAACTAGTCCTGTTATCTGGACCCTATGTATGGGATGGTTGGATATAACCCAAAGTCCAGGAACCAGGGGGGACGCCTTTATCAGAGAGTACAGCGTTCTGATCCTAACTCTAACAGGTAACCAGAACTGGGGATCTAAACCAATCAGAGGACCTGTAATAAACGAATTAAGAAGAAAAAGCAGGAATGTAGAGGCCTTTTAAGGCCCCTTATTGGATTAGATATGTATCTAGGGGCATGGTTGGAGCTAGTGAGAGTGTAACGGTTATTACTTAAGGAAAAATTTCACATTTTAGGTAAAAATCGTCTTGGAATGAAATGTGGTACATGTCCTATCATAACTGGGATAGAACTATAAACTTACTAACCCTCCTTGCCTCATATTGGTAATCATATTCCTCTCAACTAACCTGGTATATGGTCCAGTTTATCTACTTCTTCCTCTATAGATTGAACTGAGGTGCCACACTCTTCTGTTTTTCTCTCAGATGTCAAGACTGTATTACAGGAGCTTACACTTGAGGTAAAACTGGAATTTAAAATCTCTGTCCTTAGTTCTTTCTCTGATTTTATGTCAGATGAAGGTCGACTAATATCACTGGGATCACAGAAAAATAACTTTTTCGGTTTTGAATCTGAGAGAGTTTTTGAAGGCCTATAACAGTTGTCTGATGGACTTTTACCATTTGTTGATGGAGTCACATGACTTGGTGACACCGAGGCAAACTCGTTTAAGAATGATAAGCTGGGTGTCGGGTCCCACAAATCATCTTCCTCTTCTATAAAGAAACAACGAGACTTTCTACGGCTCGAGCTGGCATTTCCAAGCGAACTTCTCCTCAAACTTTCTCTAGGCTTACTGTCCATTACACCGACAATTACAGTTGTTTTCTTAGGACTTGATGAACCTAAGTGACTTGGTGATGACATCACGTGACTTGGTGGTGACGTCACGTGACTTGGTGATGACGTCACGTGACTTGGTGGTGACGTCACAATATGTCCTGGTGATGACGTCAAAAGACTTGGTGATGACGTCAAAAGACTTGATGATGACGTCTCAAGACTTGGTGACGACGTCACCGGATTTGATGACGATTTTAGGAATGATAAACTTGGAGTTGGATCCCAAACATCTTCATCCTCCTCATCCATAAAGAAGTATCTAGAACGTCTGCTGCCTGAGCTACCATTTATAGAAAAACTCGACAACAAATTTTTCTTCAAAACATCTTTCAGTGGACTGACAGATTTATTGACATTCCTTGTGCAATTTCCATCGACAGGTTTAGCTACTTTCTCAGATTGGTTAGATGAAGCAACATCTCGCTTACAATTCATCTTTCTATGATTCTCAATCTGCGAACCAGAATCTGTCTGAGAAACGAAGAACAGTTTGGGAACTTTATAGGAGACATTCCGACTCATCTTTCGTTTAGAAAGTAGTGTACTAGATGGAGTGCTGGAATGAGAGGGTAGTCCTGGCTTAAAAAAGTCATTTCTAATCTTGCCATTGACCGAAGAAGTAGTCTGGACACTTGAAGAGGGTGTGACGTCATGTGATAATGGTGCGACGTCACGTGATAATGGTGTGACGTCACGTGATAATGGTGTGACGTCACGTGATAATGGTGTGACGTCACGTGAGGAGGGAGAGAAATCAAGTGAAGATGGGATGACATTACCAGAGATATCAAATGAGGAAGGGGTGACCAGAGAATCGTGAGACACGGTTGTGTCCCATGATAGTGATGTTAAATCTTGCAGATCTTGCAGTATGGCACTGGTAGAGGCAGCAGCTTGACCTGGGCCTGACATTATAAGTGCTCCATTCCTGGAAATGTGGTTGTAAAATTTCCAATTTATTGTTTTTAATGAAGAAGTCCACAGACATTTTGAGGTGAAGTTATTCAAATTAAATTAGAAGGGACGGTAGTCGAGATTTTATAGATTGCTGATTGGTGATAGGTTAATAATTCATCGTTTAACAGTATCTACCTTATCTTATCAGCTTACTATTCAATACTTTAAATGAGTAGTTAATGAGGGAATTAACCCGAATTAAGCAAGGAAAAACGCTAAATTAAGTAAAAAGATAAAAGTAGCAATTAACCATTTTACCACTTCCGTTTCATACGGTTCAAATACTCAAGCACTTTTATTCTTGCTTTATGATAGAAAATAGAGTTCTTAATATTGTAGTCATTATTTGACTTGGAGTGTTTAAAAAGATTTTTAACAGGATATCACAACTGAATAATCTTCCAAAGTTCATGCAAAGCAAGTCTAACTGAAACATTAGTCCTCGAATCGTTTTCATTGTGATTATGTTTGAGAATCTCCATAATACCGGAAATATTAACAAAAAAGCTGCACAGTTCACAGTTATTTGTATGAACAAAACTATAAATCTACGAAACATCTTTAAAAAAGCTCATGTAAAAACAAAATAAAAATGTTTAACATGTATCTTGCCACACAAATTTCCCAAAAAATTCTCATATTCTCCCACAAAAAATGAGTTCACACGAAACAGCAGGAGTCCGTGCTAGAGGTTACTGTGCTTTAATTTGGGTACGAGTTTTACATAGTACACCGTAAAAATGGGATACACATATAAAAGATAGCAATATGTTCATTTGGAGGGCAGCAGCTAACAAAGCAGGTTCTTTAATATCATTCTTCTCTGACTGACCATCATTCCTTCTGATCAACAAACGCTATAAGTTTACAATAACAATCCACTCTCGGTACTGAACTTTTGTTTATCCGAACGGGCTAGCGGTTGGATCCAGACTTTTGAACATGTCAGCTAATGTGGGTTCACTGCTAGACTTCTCTTTCTCAGAGGGTTGTTTCAAACGAGGATCTCGCGCTGCGCACACCACTGCTTCAGGCTGTGGTTCCGCGGACTTGTTGCCCCCGAAATCAATAGTTGCAGTTAGAGGAGCATTGGGTTGTTGGGGTGGAGGAGGTGGTGGAGGAGGACGCTGGTACTGGTTCACTAGAGGGACATAGTCAGACTGCTGGAAGGGAGCTGCTGGTAGCAGTGGGGCGGCACTGCTCGCCATGTTGGCAGCTGGCTGGGTTACTGGGATCGGTGGTGGAAATGCACCGTTAAAAGCAGACGCTGGGTTCATGGAGGTGGGCGGGGCGAAACTTTCGGGGGCTGCGTTAAAACTGGTCGGGTTGAACTGATCTACCATCATCGGGTTGGGTGGCGGATTGATCGGTCCCTGACTCATTGGAGTCTGACCCATCTGTCCCGGCGGTCCCTGATTCATTGGTCCTTGGTTGAAGTTCGGTCCATTATTGAAATTGTTAAAATTGTTAGATCCTCTGTTATACTTGTCGGTATACCCTCCCCTCCTGAATCCTCCTCTGTTATTGTAACCGCCTCTGAAACCTCGAGGACTTCCCCGGCTGCCCCCTCTGAAGAATCTGCCGCGGTTGCCCCGGTAACTGTCCCGGGGGGAGTTGTATCTGTCTTCAGAGTGTCGGTGGTGATGTTTGCGGTCCTGCTCCCGTTCTCTGTGATCTTCTTTGTGCTCTTTTTGTTCCTCTGGTGTGGGTAGAAGTACCTGGAGAAAGAAAAACGTTTAGAATGTAAGAAATTACTTAATATTTAAATTACGATTCTGAATATCATGTCTTCATATAAAATTAGCTTGCTAGAGTGATTGTGGAGTTTTATTCTACTTCAGGTCATTATAGTCCACATGAAACAGCTCAATAGCAAGAAACCCACCTTCTTGTTGGCGGGAGCGTCAGGGTCAGTGAAGAGAGGTTTCTCCCCTTTGTCTATAGGAGACCTGGACCTGCTCCTACTCCTACTCCTGCTTCTGGATCTGAACCTCTTAAACCGGGGTCCTCGATCGTATCTGTCATTCTTCAACTGCGGGCAGGGGAGTGGGGTTATTTTACTGTGTCACGTGCGTGTAGATAAGTTATGGATCTAACTTAAGAGTTAAGTATCATTTATCAACAGCCTACAAGTGAAGATCACAGATAATCTAGACAAATCATAGATATTAGATAGTTATAAAACTGTTGGGATGTTTAACCATTAACCGTCTGACAAAAGATCAAACTCTCTCATATTTCTGTCAGATTCAACACCTAAAAAGGAACTCACAAATTCAATGATCTGTCTGGTATCATCAGTGAGGGCCTCGTGACTGAACCTACATTCCTTATCGTTGTAACAGAAGCCTCTTAGGTGGAAATATTTGCAGGGATATTCATCTGAAAAGTGTGATTCGTTAATTAAGCTGTGTTCTGGCTCTGGTTTTGTTTTTGTAAGTTGAGCTACAATCTGAGTTTTCAATAAATTATCCAACGAAGGATTAAACTAGGATTAAACTGTGAACTATTTCTATTTTTAGCATTGCAAAATATCCTTGAAATAATTGAAGAAAGGAACACTCACTGTGCATGTAAGGACAGTGATCCCCTTTGTGACACGGCAGATTCTTCATGAAGTATTTACACACGTCAAGTCTCTTCTGTATTTCATGACGGAAAGGACACTCGTCACCCTGCAGAGAATGGTTACATTATCAACTGAGTTCTTAATATTCTGTTTAACTTCAAACTGACAACCAGCCATAATTCCAATCATGCCTTGCATCCAATCATAACGTTAATATCGGGCAATGACCAATGCCCAAGAAGCTAATTTCATGTTTATAGCTTGCACAAGACAGGATCAAATTAAGTGTATTCACTGACATGAAACTAGGGGAGTTTATACCCATTTAATTAGTGGCCCAGTACTCGGTATCTGACTATTTCTCTGGACTCTCAAATATATGGTGTATTTAGTAGTTAACCAAATAACAGGTTAAAAGTCATTACTCAACTGACATAACATCATACACTTCTAGAACAAAACTCAGAATTGAAGGGTTGAGACTAGAGATATATGATGCCCTCTGATCTCTACATAAAATAAATCAATTGTAGTATGTAAGTTATAAAATCAACAGTATATTGAGTATCCTCTTAAAACTAACCTCCTTGCAGAATCCCTTCTGAAAGAACCGACAATAAGTTTTAGCTCGGAAGGCGTCCATCTCCTGCCTCCGCTCCTTCATTTTTTCGTAGATCTCCTTGTGTCGCTCCCACCACTCACTAGGTGTGCTCTGCTGTGGAATATATAGTGTTATACAGTGTATATAGATCAGTCAAATGAAGACAGCTAGGAGACAGCTAGGAGAGAAGTAGGAGACAGCCTACATTTTTGGGACTGAGATAAATGTCAAATATTTTGTAATTTTGATGATAAAATATTCTTGAGATCGTAAATTGAGATTGATAATACTTGAAGTTGTGTGGATTTGAACGGGTAGTTTGTGACTGTGTGGTGATCATGATAATACATGTAATACTACAAATCAGCTACATTTAAAACAGTGCCCCCTGAACAGCTAGCGTACGTGCCAAAAAAGTATATTTAGAACGGGAATATTGAACATATATTTCTGGTTGGGACAAGTATTAACATTTGATTTCAGTGCCGTGTCAACATAATTATACCAGAACTCCCTTCAAAGCTACCAAGGTGACTTATAACGGATAGCAAGACAAGATAAAGTCCTGGTCTTTCTATTACTATACACGCTAGCACTTTGTTAGGTACCTGTCCTCGACTACCCTTTACAAACTCTACATAGTGAGTATGTAGTTGAGCAGCACATTGATGAGTGCAAGACTGTGACTGATTGAGATTTTGGAAGCACGTGATCATTCCAATCTTAAACCCTTCGTACCAATACGGTCGAAATAGATAAGCTATGACTTTATAGACTTTTATGTCAATAATACAAGTTTGACAGTCAAACTCCATGCACAAAACACGAATAACAGTGTAATGCACCCCCCTCTCTAGTGTAGTACACCCCCTCTCTATCAACTACAACTGTCCTAACCTTCTTCTTCTTCTTCTTTTTTCTCTTCACCCCTTGGCCCTCTTCAGCATCCTCCTGGGTATCAACCCCCAGTGCCCCCAACAAATTCTGGTCCTTGTCATCGTAAGAGGCCCTCAAATTTGGCGGAATCTCACTGTCGTTCTGTAATTAGAACGCGTGTCATGGACTGCAGTTAAAGAAACTAAATTTTTGTTACGGCAGTAACTGTAGTAACACACTTACAACAGTTACAGACTGTTACACGCTACTCGGTTACAAAGGAACCATAGTAACACAGTTACCGTAGTGACAAATATACAAACGTTACTAAGTCAGCTTAGTAACAGTTGCCACAGTTACACAATTACAAAACTTACACAGTAACGCGACCTTAACTACATAATACACAGTTACCATATCTACACGATTAATAATCTAGTTCTTACACAGCTCTAACTTCGAAGCCATTTTAAATGATGTTTGATTTTTTGATTAAAGCTTTTCCCAAATTAAGTCGTCCCCTACGTTATATTATATCAGGAGACAAGACACATTTTGATCTTGGCTAGCACATTCTAACAGATCGTTTACTTGTTGCTACATGTAGCACATTCTAACAGATCGGTTACTTGTTGCTACATGTAGCACATTCTAACAGATCGTTTACTTGTTGCTACATGAGACAAGACACATTTTGATCTTGCACATTCTAACAGATCGTTTACTTGTTGCTACACCCCCCCCCCCCCCTACATGACAAAATAAAGTCAAGAAAGTTGGCCACCCCTGAGAACTGAATATTAAGCTGCTTGGACGCCAACTTCATTTCATAGTACTATAAAAGGCATTATGTTGGAAAATTGACAGGTATTTGTCTATTAAAAAACCTCGCTATCCAAAGCTACGCCTGCTTGATGACAGTCAAATGCAAAGCAGTACATTATTCCCTTTAATTGAATATCACTGTTGCACACCGCCAAATGCAAAGCAGTACATTATTCCCTTTAATTGAATATCACTGTTTCACGCCGCCTATTATTTTCAGAAAATGTACTGTGAGAACTACTTTTTATACGTCAGGCATACAAATTCTGCATTTCAAAGCTCAAAATAATAAAATATATGCTCACTTAGGATGTATAAAGTACAAATCATGAATTCACAGTTATTCTACTACACCTACAGAGTTATTTTCGTAATAATTTGTTACACGGAAGAAGTGTGGTACAGATCATAGAGCTTGCTCGAACACGGACCCTTGCAAACAACACAACTACAGCCTGTGACGTCACATAACTACAGCTTGTGACGTCACACCCGCTGCAACACAACTACAGCTTGTGACGTCACACAACAACAGCTAGTGACGTCACACAACAACAGCTTGTGACGTCACACCCGCTGCAACACGGTAATATAAGTAGATCGGTGTTTTATTTGACGTTGAGAAAGGAGACGGTAGCAGTTAAAGAATGGATGAAGATTAGTGTTCGTTTGAGGGATTGACGCTGAATATTTTAAAGTCCAAAGGCGAAAAATCATGGTAAAAAATTGACATTGAAGAACAAATAAAGCGAGTTACCTAATTTCACGAAGGACATAAAAAGAACATACCTACAGACGGGCATAAAGGCAGACTAATTGTTTCTCAAGTCTAATGAATCAACTGCAACATTAACACGTTTTATATTCCTGTTTAAAGACTGCTATCTTTTTTTCTATTTCCCCGAATTCCCTGAACAATTTTCAGCAATAACATCCTTCGCCTTAGCTTTTTATGGCTTATTTTATTGAAGTTCTCTTCTCTGCTGTAGATTACAAATCATGATTGAAAGATCTATCACCACGTATTCTAGATTGATTATGCCCAGAATGGTATACCTATAAGCATGTCGATTGTCGAATGATCTGCAAATCAAATTTGTTTTCGTGTCACAAATAACAGCGAAAGTTGTCAGGGCCCGCCCTATCGTTTAAGGTAATTGATTATTCGCACAGTAACTCAAATTCGCCTAATATATTACTACACACAGTGTATTATGAATTATATTACACGGTGAACTGTAAATATAACACTATACATTTTACACTGTACATTTTACAATGAGCACACATGCAGTATTTACATTTTCCACGGCTAAAAGCACGTGAGCACAAATTGACTTTAAGATTTTATACGGGCGCTAAGGGACGAAGAATCCGTGGACGCCTAAAGGCATTTCAACCTTTCTCGATATCCGCTTTACAACTACAGCTGCATTGTACATTCTACACCCTACAGTGTATTCTACATTGTACTGTCTACACCTTAAAGTGTCTTCTACATTGTACATTCTACACCCTACAGCACAGTGCATTCTACATTGTACATTCTACACCCTACAGGGGTTTCTACATTGTACATTCTACACCCTACAGTGTATTCTACATTGTACATTCTACACCTGCTTTGTATTTCCAAGGTTCTTTAGTAAAAACAGGCCCTAAATTACCACGACAGAGTGGTCTAGACTGATCACAATACAGATTACCTATATTGCCACTGACTTTTGGCCCACCCTGTATAAGTAACGATATTACACTGCAGGTTAAGAGTCTAATAATAGTGCAAGAGAGGGCCTGCAGCTGGGATTAGATCTAATTAATTACTTGTGCAAATTAGGTTTTAATATTAATTTGGATCTTTCGAGAAGCAAATAAGCAACCACGAAAAGGATGTACACTGATATTAACAGCATTTAACTTATTTAAAAATCTAAGAGAGACCACATTTTTCATATTCATTTGCTACCAGATGAAACATCTGCAATCCTGCAGTTATCGATTATCTCTGGGATCTCTATTTGAACTGACCGTGTCTACTGTTATGTAATCTAGTGTACTGCTCATAAATCCAAGAAATACCACCTAATTTTACACGGTACCAATTTTGGACAAATTTTCACTTTGTCGAACTGAGTTCGGTAAACAAGTAGTGATATCTAAGCCCAACTTCAACTTCAGATCGAATACTATAATGGCAGCACAAGTTCAACCTACGCTATGCTAAGATAGCTAGTAACAATTGTCACACAGTACACCTGCTAACATCTAGTTTGTTATAAGAAACAGAGTTAAGCTACATCTGTTCAGACAGAGCTTTTAGTGCCATGCATTCGATATGGAATGTAAACATACCAACTTGAGATAATATCTAGAAAAGCAATCAACAGCTTGCATGTGTACATACTGGGCGTGGTCAGTAATCGACCACAGTAAACCCTGATCTCACTCAAGCACATTCATAATGATTGGGTCGGATAAGTCACGTTAGAACTTTATATGAGTGTTTTGGTTTGATTTGGTTCACGACACCTGCACCCAGCTAAAGTATTCTAGGTCGTGACTTTCGCCCGGCCCAGCCACAAAGAAAGAGGCAGATCTTGGCGTTCCCATTAAATTTAAGGCAGAGCGACAGCTAAATCTATCTACAGCTTTTCGAGGCTCTCATATTATGCAATTTCGTGCTCTGGTGTACTACACTATCATTTTAGGGCATTACCATTTAGAGCGATCATAGTTTTAGGTTAGATTTTTACAAACTCATCCATGCAAACATTCATTGTTGTCCCTTTTTCATGTCTATTTTTCTTCAATTGGTCAGTTTAAGGTAATAGAGTATGTTTTCTTTTTGCAAAATATATCTTTGATTCTTTAACCTTTTTTTTTGTTGCTCAGTACATTATCATGTCTTACCCAATTATAATATTCGATTTTATCGCCTATTTTCACAATAAAATAGGTTCGGGATATTGGTAAGACTGCAAATTCAGAGAACTTTGGCAAAGTGCTTCGCACCGAACATTCTGGAAGAATGAGGTAGAATCTGTTATGGTGTAATCCACTATTATCTTTTACTTCAGACAAAGTGGTTGCCCAAAAGTTGGTATAGAACCGAGCTTATGAAATTTGACAAGATTCAGATTATAAAAATCGTTTTATAGTTCCATGCGTTTACTTTAAAAGCTTGAAGAACATGTATCCCAACATGCTTATTAATATTGGAAGGCCAACTGTGTCGCCTTTAGACACCAAAATCCATCATAAATCCAACATGCTACATTGAACCAATTATACTGTTAAATTAAGGAATCAAGTTACCGATTGAACAATTTGGACATTGTCGATATTTCTAGCCCAATAAATAGGTGACGTGTGGCTAACTGTCCTCCACGAACATTTAATATACGAGATAGTCTCAGGTAGGCCCGATTCTTAATTATACCGTATACGTGGCACGAAGTGCATCAATCCTGAATTTTAGTTGTGGCAAATTACAATGCAGCCATATGCAAGTTGCTAATCACGTGGCAGTTAACATGTACTGTCTACACGTCACATGTCTCCATAAGAAATGTTATTTCCGGCTTTAGATATTGCATCACGGACCAGCTGTATTTGAAAACTAAGACTCTTGTCGACAATGGCAAAATCGACAGACCATATCGGTAGATCACATTGTATGGAGTATTGTTATAATACAGGAGTTAGTGGAGACCAGATGGTCGGTCACACAGAAGGCTCCCTAGCCGGCTCTCCAATGTACACTCTCATTATACCTGCTGTATAATACATGGTGCACACGTGACGCTAATTGCGGCGTCACGTGGCACTCGCAGCCGCAGCAGAGAGCGAGCTCTAAAACATTGTACTACAGAACAACACAGCGTAGCAAACAAATAAAGTGAATGTGTTTGTGGGGTGGGGTGGATTGTGGAATTACCATCATGAAAGCAGAATTTTCCTCATCGCTGCCACTCGATGCGCTTGAACTCTCGCCTACGTCACCGACTTTGGTTATTGCAGAGCGCATATTATTCACCATCGCTTCTTGCCAAATTTTGTAGCGATCAAACTTATCGGCTGACTCAGGCGATTTCTCGGGTTCAGGCAATTTAGCTGGAGGTTCCTCCTCCGGCTCACTGTCGGGGAGCTCGCCTTCATCCGAGACTTCGCCCTCGTCGGATGGTAACTCGCCTTCCGACAATTCACCTTCCGACTTTTCATCTGGTTCACGTGAAGTATCCATGGGACCTATGTAACCAGCAAGCGTTGTGAAATGAGACAAAATGAAAAAGAATCCAGCGTCTCCGAGACACGCCATAGCCGCCCAGCCACGCTCGATGGCTCGGTGCCAGAATACCCCAGATGTGGCTCATTTAAGATAAGTAGTCTGTATTATTGCCCATGTATCTATCAGCTCGTTTACAATGTCTGAGAAGTACATGGAAGTTCGGTATAGTGGTGGAACTTTTAGGAACCGACATGACCGCTTCAAACTCGGCGGTCGTGTTTAAAACAGGACTCCAACGAAGCAGTGGCTATGGGGCAAGGCATGTCTCGCAGTTAATTAATCCATTTCAAAAGTTGTTGTTTCACTATGTATAATAATAATTCAAATTCTCAAATTAAACGTATGGGTTTGTGCTTTCTTGTAAGAATAACGTCCATCTAATGGAGAAAAGGAAGTTACATTATAACAGTGACACAGCGAGGTCATTTACTAAAGCGTTAGCTTAAACGCCTCATTCACGAACCATCCAGTGTATCAAGTGAGTTGCTCAGCAGTGTAAGAGGCGTAACGCGTTACTCTCCAATGCCGAAACTTTGCAACGCAGTATCAGAACTTTGGATTTAAATCTTGCGCGGCTCTGATGTTAATGCGCGGCGCAAAATAAGATTGTTAGTTAATTTAATAACCTTGAACCTACCATGCAAAACGCGCGCCTGTTTTCTTACTGTACATGTCATGTAGAGCAACCCTCTGACCTGACATATTTAGACCCAACCCTAACCCAACACGGCTTAATAAAAGCACATGCTGAAATCTTAACCCTAACGAGAAATTACACCAACTCCCTAATACGATCATATCACGTGATAAATATTACTGGGCCGCGCTCAGCCTGTCATTCCGCTTAATCTCTATGTTTATAGACATGATAGCCTGAGGTCCCCAGGTAATATAAATACAGTTTTTTGCCAATATCTTGCCAAAATCTCAAAAATTGACTGTATTGTAAAGTTATTTAGTTACTGGGCGCGGCCGCGCTCAGCCTGTCATTCCGCCTAATCTCTATTATCATGTTAATGAACATGATAGCCTGAGGTCCCCAGGTGAGATGTTACTCGTCTAAATTTCTTCGAAGTAGCGCGCGCCGCGGCCGCTTTCTTGTTTCTTCTCCATTCTCGAAATTTTAGGCAAGTGCTACAAAGTTGGAAGTAGCGCGCGCCGGGCTAGTCCATTAACAATAAACAAGCTAAACCGGCCCGGTATACCCACGAAATATTACCGGCTGACGGGCTTGATAGGCAAAAAGTGCTTGTCACAAACATTTTGCTGTTTGAGCTTGCACACAACATTGACAATTTTTAAGTTTACTGGTTGCATGCGTTTACCTGAGGACCCCAGGCTATTACGTTCATTAACATATAATAAAGATTTGGCGGAATGACAGGCTGAGCGCGGCCCAGTAAGCATGCGTGACCAGTGACACATTCCAATGTCTGATGTTTATTGTTTAAGCTTCACGTGACACAAAAGATTAGATCAGAAATGTTATTATATATTTTTACGCGAGACCCCAAAAACCTTGGCTGGGGCCTATAAGTATAGATTTGGAATCTTTCCTGGGGACCCCAGGCTATTATATTTATTTTCTTTATCATATAGAGATTCGGCGGAATGACAGGCTGAGCGCGGCCCAGTAACTTGAATCTCCGAAAGTAAAATAAAAAACTTAGAATAGCATAGAGCCTTTTACTGGGCCGCGCTCAGCCTGTCATTCCGCCTAATCTCTATGTTAATGAACATAATAGCCTGGGGTCCCCAGGTAAAGAGCCTTCCATTCCAATTTTTTGCAAAATGTTTGCTTTGTTGTTTGTAAAAATAACGTTTCCTTTTGACCTTCCCTGCAGCATGCAGGAAAATTTAAAAAAAATAATATTGAGTTTAGATTTTGAGTTATTGTGAAAAGTTTCATTTTGGGCCAAATAAAAGTTTGCAACTTTAACTTTGCATATCTTTGTGCGCGGCGGGTCATACAACGTATGACAAAGCACCAACTTGCTGTAAATAAAGCATCTTTATGCTTAGTAGCGCGATACACTACTAGTACTGGGCAAAAAGTCGCTCTTGCGCTATTTATTTAACTTTTGGCGCGGAGATATTCAATAAAGTTTTTCAGGCTTTTATCTATCATATTACTGTGTGTACATTTATGAAGGAGCACATGTATGCGGAGGGTAATGCATGTTTTGCTTTGTGACACCACAAAAAACCTACCTACCTACCTACCCTACGCATCCTCAAATCCTACCACTTCTAACCATCTTATGCTTTTTTAAGAAAATATAGAAAAATCTATTAAGACACGCGCCGAGTTTAAAGTTAAAAGTTGGACTCGTTGACAGTCTTTGCACTTTGGAAAAAAATGTCAACCTTTATGCTTTAAATTCAATGGCGACCTTTTTCTAAAAATATTATAATATTGGACAAAATTTTATAATACAATGCGACACCCTACAGCTTGGTCATTGGTTTTTCCTTGCCTTGCACATTTTACAAATAATTCTTCAAGTTACTAATAATATGTAATATAATAAACAAAATAATATAATATGCTAACAACAACTTTAATCCAGGATAAATATAGGTTTGCGCAGTACCCGGAAGAAAGAAAGGCTATGCTTGCATCAGTTTATGAAATTGAAGGAAACTATAAAAGGGTGAGTATAACAGCATAATTTTATCATATTGTTCTACTTGTATTTTACATATAAACTCGTTTATCCACCGGTTCAAACTTTGAAAATGAAGGTTTTTGTGCTTTTCTTTGTCATCGCTACTGTTTTCTACTGCATGACTGCAACTGAACTTGAAGGTAATGAAATACTAATCACTCGCAATCATACATTATTCTAATTCAATTGGAAATAATTGTGAAAGTAAAATTAGGCTTAAATCTGATCAGTTCATAATATTATCACTTTTCTGTCATCGACAACGATCATATTTGGGTACAAATACAATTCATTTCAAAATCCGTGTTTTATTTCAGAAGAAAATGCTGAAACAGAAATTGGAGTTGAGAGTGAGACGACGTCGGTAGATAGTTCTGAACCTAGTTTTGAAGCTGCCCGTATGCGTCATAGGACTAGGAGACGCCGTAGCGGAGAATAGGACTATTACTAAAGATTTCAGCCTCCTATGGTTACACCGTACTTGAAATGATAGGACACTTACACTAACATTTTCAAAACTTTCTGTATAATTTTTATGTGTTTACGATTATCGTTCGAATTTGTGGAGTAAGACGTTCAAACATTATGCATCGAATTTTATGTGTTTTATTTCTCGATCTCACCTTTATCTCAAGTTCTCATCCTGAAAATTCACCAAACTGTAGTGTGGTCTGCTTGACGAATGGTTCATATCTGATAGTAGCAAATGAACGGGTGATACTCGTAAATGTAAAAATAGTTGTTCCAAATATTCCAAGACCGTCAACGAGTCCAGCTCGGCGCGCGTTTTGGTAAGTTATTAACCTACAAGTACAAGTAGCAAACAAATGGCAATAGAAAAAATCAACTGAATGACAACAGATCATAATAGTAAACAATAATTCACATTCGATCGGACAAATTACAGAAACAATTTATTCCTAAAATTAAATCAACAAGTGAAACATGACTCAAAAATTACTCAACATTCCATTTCCAAGATACACTAGCATAGCAATTGCATTTTTTTACTTGCTTAAGTCAAACTCTTCTGATATTGCTGAGGATTAGCAAATCAGGAAAACCTAATTTTCAGACTCGATCTCTACAGTCCGATTGCAGTGATACGCGAAACCTGGTAGAATCTTTTTCACTTTATGCACCATAGTTTTTATAAGTTTATAGTTGGCACACAGTCACTCATAGTTACCACCCATAGTAACCACCCATAGTAACCACCCATAGTAACCACACATAGTAACCACGTACAGGAGCCACTCAGCGGCACTGCATTACGTACTCTTCCTATAGGTGATACCCTCTAGGTTAGCAACAGGTTGTTCCACAGTACAACTGTTACAATGGTAACCAGGTAAGTAGTTGTTGTTGCCATGGGTTACCTGAGGTCTGTTCTATGACGAGGCAGATGAAGAAAATCCTCTTCACAAAGATCATTCAACTTTTTACTTATGAACTTAACCTATAAAATGGAGTTTGTTAGCAACTGAAATTATGAATAAAAAAGTTGTTGCCATGGTAACTAACTTGGTAACTTGGTAAGGTTTATCCTCGTAGCAGGAAGGGTCATCAGATGTCTGACCACCGTGATGGCGTGTAGTCTACCAAGGAATTCGACCAGCTGCACGTATAACCGGAAACCGGAGGGTTATCCGGTATCAAAGCAAGAAACTTCGACAAACTGACTTTGAAGCTGGCAAACGTTTTATCGGCTTTCACTTCACTCGGCACCTTATTCCACAGTTTGGATCCTTTTACTGCGAACGAGCTATCGTACAGTGTCTGGTTTCTCATCGAACTCGACTTTGATAGAGAAGGAACAACTGCTTTAGTGCCATATCTGGATGTTTCCACAAACTCGATGCTACAGCTATTTGGAACAACGTTATGGTACGTTTTCCACATCATCAAGATGATGTATCTCTCCCTTCTCCGTTGCAGGGACATTAACTTCAAATGAGCTAGCCTCTCCCAGTAGTTTAAGCTGTATAGACCACCAATGCGGCTTGTAAAGGTACGCTGGACCCCCTCCAAAAGCTGAATCTCTGTCGTCTTGACTGGGTCCCACAGCGGACAACAGTACTCCAATAAGCTTCTGACTAGAGACTTGTAGAGGGTCATCATAACCACTTTATCCCGTGTCTTAAACACACTGAACACCCAAGACAGTTTACTTCTAGCTTTGGTGACCATATCCCCGACGTGTTTAGACCAGCTCAGATCGCTTGACACTTTAACACCAAGGTCTCTAACGTTTTCTACGGGATAAAGAGTGAAGTCACTAGAAACCTTGTAGAGGAGACTTTCTACGTAGAAGGGAAGTTCACTTGATAAGTTCCTCTTAGTGTGTAGGTGGTTTAGGAGTTCGAACTTCTGCTC